AGATGAAAGAAAATGTTTTTCTCCCTGAGCCTGGCCTTCATAATTCCATTCCATCACAGGTAGTTATGACTGGTCCTTGTACTTATGGCCATTGTAGCATCCCCGTAATAACACAATTGCAATTTGCAACTTTCCCTGCCAACTTCCAACAACTAAAGTCAATGGGGAAGCAGGCAGATAGTCACAAAGTTTATTAAATTTAGAGGCTGCCCAACTCCAAATGATTCTAGGCAGCTTACAGTTTAAAAGTGAAGGGCAAAAGAACCATGCATGTCTGGGAAAAAAAACCTATATAACAGAAAACAATTTTACTCCAGAGCTTGGGAGAACAGCTTTTTTGATTTATGATGGAGTTTCCAGTCCAAATTAGTGTCATTAAGTGAGAACTACTTGTATGCCCATGTGTCACCAAATGGGCAACCTACACTGGTTGCCAGTTGCTTCCAGGTGCAATTCAAGGTGTTGATTATTATATACAAAGCCCTTCATGGTTCAATGCCTGGTTATTTGAGGAATTGCCTATGTCTGATAGTTTCTGGTCAACTGGAAAGATTGACCAGAGTGGGTTCACTCCAAGTCCCTTTGATTAAACAGTGTCACCTATTGGAAATGCACCTTCTTGGCATGGCACTTGCCCTCAACCACCCCCAAAGATCTGTATGGCTCCCACCTGATGATATTATAGCTGTTCTCCCAAGCTCTGGAGTAAAATTGTTTTCTGTTATATAGTTTTTTTCCCCCATACGTGCATGGTTCTTTTGCCTTGTTTGATAGTATTTTTCCTTCATTTTTAAACTATAAGCTGCCTTGGACAGCCTCTAAATTTAATAAAATAATTAAGAGTAAGATCCCACTGAATGCTGATCCTACACCCATCTTTGTATCATCTACAGATTTTATATTTTCTAAGCCCTCATTCAAGTAATTTATAAATGGTTTACAAGGTTGGAAGGCTGGGCATTGCAGAGGATTTCTCTCTCTCTCTCTCTCTCTCTTTCTCAATAGGGCTGAACTTTTAAATTCAGAGTTTTCTTCCTTTGGGTTAAACATGTTTGGTGGAATAGAGTAGAAAATAAAAGCATTTTGGCCCTATCATATATTTTCCTTCCCTAGTACTTTCACCTAAAATTTGTACTACTTGTTGCCAAGTTAAGGTCAAGCCAGGGTACTTCGTGATTTAGAATTATTTTTTAAAATCTGGTTTACATTCAACTACCTGGATACAATGAGAAATTATTCCCCAGGCCAATTCATATTTACTCTTGTAAATAAGGAACAGGACTTAGGAAGAAAAGCTCATGAGCAGCTTGCCACCCTCAAAACCTCCTGAAATTCTGGTGCCAAAGCAATAAAATGGCTATTGTTCAGTGTTAGCTTGTGTCTGAAACAAAAGCATCCACAGGCAGTCAAAAAAATTGAGATGGTTTGTGACCCTGCAGCAGATTAATACAAAAGAAAATGTAGTATCTGATCATAAGTTTTCTCAGTTCTGATTAACAGTGCCATTTAACAATACTGTGTGTGTTTTTATTTAAAGCATTCATTTTGGTGATACTGTAATTACATTGCTAAAGATAAAAAGCTGAAACAGGACCCTGGTGGGGGAATGTTAACTCAGTTTTTTAGACGATTTTTAATAATTTCTCTGCACCTGGGTTAAAGGGCAAATTGCCCCCAGTCATGCTCCATTCCTGGTAACTATTAATTACCAATGATAAAAACCGGGCACATTGAACGCAGGTAAAAGTTGCTGTGGGGTAACAGAAAAACCCTTGTGCCCATTAGCAAAAGTCTGCCACTTCATTTGCATTAAAGCGAGGCTCCAATATCAGTGAAACGGGCATCAGGTAGCAATGTGCGTGGATGTAGTAAGATCTGCACTGTACAGCCCAGGCCACCCAAACAGCAAGTCAATCTGTCGCGTGCCAGTAACGTACGCCTTTGTTCACCACAAAGGGCCTCTCATATTACGTCCGTAACTTTATGAAATGGCCGGGATTGCCAGCTATATCAGTCTCACAAGATGGTTGTCTGCCCGGCCAACTCTAGGAAGCGAGCACACAGGCACTGATGCAGAAAGAAAGAGCTAGAATTTATGCTGATGGGACGAAAACAAACGCAAGAACACCATCTCAACTGTTCTCGGAGTTCTTCTTCCGCGCGACACCCGTTGGAGGTCTAGTGAAACGTACTACATCACCCAGCATGCTTCGCGAAATCAAAGATCGACGCTTGCGCACGCTGGTTGCTGGAAGCTTCCAGGAGAAGGAGGTGGTTGCCGAGAATTGTGGGTAGAAGACGGCGAGACCGACTGCGACGCCATTTTACAGTCCTTCAGAGAAACTGTGGCGCTTTTTTGTTGTAGTTGTTGCGGCTGCTGCAGTGGCAGTGAGCCGTTATTCTTTTCACGGTGAGTACCGAACCTGGAGCTTATGTCGGGAGGAAGGTTATTCAATACAAAGCATGTAAAGAATCCGTATTTGGTTTTTTGACAAACGATGATAAATTGGCTCTTAAGACGTCATTGGGCTTTTAATTCACTTTGTAGCCTTTTTAAAAAAGCCAGTTGGGAGAGGCAGGTGCTTAAAGGAGCCCTGCGGTCCATTTTCTGCAGAGGGCGGGTCCCGCCATTGATTGATCCCGATATGAGTCGTCCGTGGGGCGATCCGCCTGTCTTATTTTATTCGGGGCTTGGGGGGGGGCAGGTGAGCATATCTACTCTTCAAGTCGCATATTTGTTTTCCCAGTTACCAGTCTTTGTAGGTGAGGTTGATTCTGTATTTCTGGCAGAGGCTGAGGAGAATCAGCCACCATTAAATGCCACCCTGCACATTGTGTAGAAAGAAATACCGCAGAACGTAGAGGCTCTTTCGCTGTTAATTTACCCAGTTGCTATTTTTATGCGAGCTTGTGCCCCTTAAATAGACTTTGAGCATGTCTGGATTCGCTTTAATGTAGGCAATTTGTTTCATTGACTAAGCTTTTTTTCCTTCGTAGAGGCAGCATAGGCTTAAAGTTGGACGGCCATTTTTAATTTGCATATACGATGTTTTAAAGATATTTTTCATAGCAAGGTTATGTAGCCATTGTTTTAAAAAATTAACATCATGCATTGATTTTTTAAAAAAACTTCTAGATTGATATTCTGATTAATCAAGAATTGAAGGCAAGAGATGGGTTCCGACAAACGGTATGTGATGTTGATTTAAATATTCAGATTATATTTTGAAGGTAGACTGATGAATAAAATTGAAACTTGATAGTTCAGCATTGATGTTCTGATTTGCAGTATACAAATATTCTGGCCTTCAGGAGCTCAGTTACTAAATGCATGAAGAGGAAAGCAGAATGTATTCTGCCCGTTTAATAAAGATTAGGCTACTATTTTCTTACCTGAGTCTGAAGGAAACCACTTCAGTCTGTAGTTTTCTTCATGATTCCCATTGAAATGATGAATATTCACTCTGTCAGTCTGAGCTCCTTATATTATTTCTTCTCAGATCAAGATTCATTGAGTTAGGGGTAGGGAAGGTACAAGTGTTTTCCTAAACCAATTAATGAAAAGTTTATAAACTTTTGGGCCATAAGTCACTGTCGTCTTCCTCTCAAAGGAAAAGAGAAGAAATAGCTGTTAATCTGTACATTGGAGTAAACAAGATAAAATGGTAATACCTGTTATATGTAAATGGATGCATTCTTCGTATCAGCTGAAATGATGGATAAGGATGTATGTAATTATTTTGGGGCGGCAGAAAATGATAAAGATGGATTTTTTTTCATAGCCACATAATATTTAACAAGGAATTATGAGCCAAATAATATTAAATCAGTTTATTCAAGGTTATGAATAAAATTGCAGAATTATCTTGACCATTCATTGCTACCTTGTCCAGAGAATACTATTTCAGTAGGACAGACTTATGCATGTTTGGAAATGAGTTCCAGGATATTCAGTGGAATACATGGCAAGCGAAGTATAAAGTTTCAAGGTTCAATTGTGATTTTATTTATTTATTTTTCAAATTTATTCCCACAAACTCCTGACACATGGCACTTTAAAACACCCAACATCTCTTGAACAAATCAGTTAATAAATAGCAGTAAAGCTTTTATATCACATTAAAACAGCTACTAACAAATGTATTTTAGGATGGAAATGCCAACTTACATTGTGTTAATGACTTACATGTTCAGTAAAACAAAATTAATTGGATGATTTTTAATGATTCCAGCAGAGGTGTGAATGAAACTAAAAAAAAAAAATTAAAGATTCTTCAGAACATGGAACAAAACAGTCTACTTTGGAATACCTAGTAATGAGGAATAATAGAAACTAGAAATAAGTGTCTTGTACTTGTATTATTTTTCATCTTAAGAGGTGGTAAAATGGGCTGGTAATCTGAAGAGTGCTCTCAACCACTCAGACTATAGAAAATTCAGACAAGGAAATAACAGAGTATCTGAAAAATTCCCATACTAATTAATGGAATCAACAATTAGTGCAATCAAATCATTGTGATGTAACCTGTGAACAAAATAGATTCTGAGGCTGTTGTCTTGTGGTTTATTTCTGATGCACATACTTGTAGAGTACAAACTTATTTTCACATTTAGTAGTTTGAAAGCTGAACAGATAGAAACGCTATTTGTAAAATACAGTGTACAATTTTGCATTTGACTATTTTCCTGAAAAAGAGAGCACATGGCTGTACTAGACCCAGTGTAAAGAATTTAAAAACAATAAATGTACTTGGCAAGTAGCAGTGTTTTTATTGTATTCAAAATGGTTCTCAATTTCAGCATGTGCTTATCTTTCCCTCATCCCACCTGTTCTCTTACCTCTCTTCAGCCAGTGACAGTAAGAGTGTAACCAGTGTCTACTCTATCATTAGGTCATGTACTTATTAAAGAGGGACCCTAAAGAATTAAAAGTCAGTTGGAGACAGTCAAAAAATACTGTTTTGTTCCATTGTTAGGCCAAAACTGGACTATGGATGATTTTATTCTTAGTTTGGAAAAAACGAGAACAAGCTGTTCAGATTTTGAATGTTTCCCCCTCCTTATCAAGTAGTTAACATGAATCAGATCATAAGTGTTTTTTTTATGTATAAGGTGTTAAATATGATTGATGCAGATATCCTTTCAATTTTATTGCAGTTAAAATTTTATCAATTTGTTTTCCATGGCTTGTGGTAAGAATGTGCAAAATTTACTGTTCTGAGAACAGAATGTTCTGTTTCTGCTCTGGACCATTTGGGTCCTGTAGTTTTGGGGTTGATGTGGTAGTTTTCTGGAAGCTTACCTCCAGAACTACTGAACTGGAAGCAGTTTCTGGCATTCTGGTGCACTGGATGAAATAAGAGATTTCATCCTGAATTAGTTTGGGGCTAGACCATGTCCAGATCATCATGAACCACTTCCAGTTCAGAGGATTAACTTATGGAAATTTCTGGACCATCCCTGGAAGAAGAAGATTGGTTCTATCCAGTGGAGGAACTGATTCTGGAGGTTCCAGAATTTTCTGAAATGTTTCACTATGAGTACAGTAGCACTTACATGTACCTAGCTTGTTTAATGACCTATAGTTGCCTGAGTTCAAACATATTCTCCTATTTCCTTAGGGTTTACTCTGTCTCTTTGGTTTTTTAGGTGGTTTAGTATAGGATTTATTACAGTTTTTCCTTTCACGATATAGTGGTTTTTTTAAAAATACAAGTTAGGTTTCTTTTTTAAACTATTTAGTTTTTTATATAATAACTTCTTCTTATATTTATTATTTATTTAATAAATTTATATGACCGCCCATCTCATATACGTGACTCTGGGTGGCTAACAATTCAAAGCAGAATAAAAACAGGATAAAGCAAAATAAAAACAGGATAAAACAACCACAATTTTACTTGTTTGATTCAGAGTGGGTGTTCACTCACTTCAAACTTTAAACAGTTGCTTAGATCCTGTAGGGTATTATGAGTTCAAAATGTTCTGAATGTGAAACCTTTTACATCTTTCTAATGAAGTGGATCCAATTCTCAGAAATTCAGCTGAAATAAAGCATCCCTGAGAACAAACAAGCACTAGTAAAAATGGTAGGAATGAATGAAAAAAATAGACAAAAAGATTTACATATATTTGGCTGCAGACTAAGTTTTTTTTAAATAAGTGTAAGGTTTTGAACTTATATAACATCTTTTTTAAATGTAGAAGAAATTTAAAACACACACACACACACACACACACACACACAATAATAAGTCCTAACTAGACAAATCAGTATGTTTTAATATAATATAGAAACTCCGTTATCTTGATTGAGATTCACAGGCTTTCTAGAAGAAAAGGAATGCATGCAAAATGTAATTAAATATTCCAAAAATGGCAGATGTTTCCAACTATATGGCAATTTCCTTGTATCATACTGTTTGGCTGTCTGTTTTTATTATACAATCCTTGCATGAATGTTGTAGCCTTCAAGTTTTTTGACTATACAAACTCTCTGTGCAGCGTGAGCAGAACTGAAAGGAGTGGAAGATACGGATCTATCATAGATAGGGAAGATCGGGATGATCGGGACTCCAGAAGCCGTCGACGGGATTCTGACTATAAAAGATCTAGTGAGGAGCGTAGAAACGACAGATATGATGATTATCGGGATTATGATAGTCGGGATTATGATGGCCGAGATTATGATGGTAGAGATTATGACAGCCCTGAGGTGAGATAGCTGATTACTATACTTTGGACTTTGGTTAAATAATAAGTGTATAGTATTCTTTTGCTAAATTAATCAGTGGTATATTTTCTGGTTGGACTTAACAATAAGTGGAAGAAGGCAGTGGCAAACTATCTCCTTGTTGCCAAGCAAACTACACAGGCATGTTTCATGTAATCCCCAGCAGTCACAATTAATTTAATTTTTTAAATAAAGTGTTGTGAAGTTAATTTTGCATTGCTGTATTACATTTCTTAAATTGCCTGATTATTTGACAGAGAGAGCGTGAACGTGAGCGACGTAATAGTGATAAATCGGAAGATGGTTATCATTCTGATGGAGACTACGGAGAACATGATTATAGAAATGACATAAATGATGAAAAAGAAAGCAAGACCATCATGTTGCGTGGGCTCCCTATTACTGTTACGGACTATGATGTAAGTAACATTTTATTGTTGATTTAAACATTTCAGTTTGCAGAATAATTCTTAAATAGACTGTACAGCACTGAAGGTGTCTTAATATTCTTAACATTTTTTTCATATTTCAGAAGTGAATGTTTAACAATTATTAATATTGAAACTAGTCTCCATGCCTTGTATCCACATTTTTTGCAATTAAGGAGGATTATTTCCCCTGCCACTTAAAAAAAAAAAAATCTGGATTTTTTTTCTGTGGGAGAGAGAGACTTGTTGTTAGCTACTCCCCAGATTAAAAGGAAGAGCTTTGTTGAAATCCTTTGTGTGCCTCTTATTATAGTCCCTCCCCCAAATGATTTCCAGAGGATTGCTCATTTTAGAGGTTTTTATTTTGGCAGCAGTAAATCAAAGAGGTTCAGAAGCAGATCATTGTATCATAAATTCTGGAATTAAAATCTAAAATCTCTATGTTGAAGTATCTTAGAAATTGGTCATAGATGGTTAGCATCTACATAAAAGGGATAAGTTTACATAGCTGAAGAATAGCATCTATAAATTTTGGACCATATAACGATGTACAAATCTATTTTCCTGAGGATTCCTAGTTTATTTTAGCTGTGAAATTCTTTGATTACTCTTAACTCAAATTCTAAGGTAGTACTTCGAATAATTATACATTTTGGAAGTCATATTAATACCCGGCTATTAGTTGTTTTCCTTCTCTCTAATTTTGCTTAGTTTGTGAATGCTAACGGTATTACTAAAATTGCTTATAGATACGAGAGATCATTGAATCCTGTGAAGGCCCTCGGCCTGCAGATGTGAGATTGATGAAGAGAAAGACAGGTGAGAGCATTAACCTAATTTTTTGGCACAGCCTTCCTCTTCCCCAGGCCTAAAACATTTTCCAAAACTCCCCTTCACCTGCAAGTACAAAGCAAAATGAAAGGTTTGCCATGGATAAGGAATTTAGCCTTTTGAAAGGCTATAGATAGTGGAAGAAGTCTTCAGTTTTTTGTATATTAAAAAAGATGTCGGTAAGTAGCACCATAAATTTGATTCATAAATTTTAGTAATCCATTGCATGGTTATCTTTAAACATGGATCTCGTTCAAGTGGAAAGTAGCCTATTAATGCAGCTTGGTTTCCTTGCCATGGCAAAACAAGAAGCAAATTCAGAGTTGACGTCGCATTTATAAAACTGCTTTGTCATGAAGTAATGAAGCAGTTGGAGAGAGATTCACCTGTTTTAAAGGAACTGACTAACACAAGTATCCCGTCTATATCTGAATGCTGTCTCTAGGTGTAAGCCGTGGTTTCGCCTTCGTGGAGTTTTATCACTTTCAAGATGCTACCAGCTGGATGGAAGCCAATCAGGTTGCTTCACTCACAAAGTCTAGATAATTCCTGAACATGGAACAAGTCTGTACAGTTTTTAAAAAGGAATAAATAAAAAACTGAATGAAGGAGTGGTTTGTCTTAAAATCATAACTTCCTTAAAATGAAATGCTTTGTATATATTAAAATTTTTGTTAAGATTGCATAGCATTGCACAAAACTACACTTTGACCATCTACCTTCTATAAAAAGTATGCTACCTCAAAGCATTTAATTTGATTGGTCTTTGACTATTATTTCTTAAAACTTACTACATATTCAGCTAGAGACTTTTCTGATTTATGCTATCTGTAGCTGTGAAATGAAATTTACAGATTATATAAAAAACTAACTGAAAAGGCATACATTTTTAGTATGATTTAACAAATGAAGTAATGCTTCTAAAAGGCAAGTAAGGGGCTTATAAAATGAGTATGAACAATGTAAACGAGAAACATAGAAACTTATTAAAGAATTAAAATGTATATTTCCAAGGCATTGAAATGCTTTGGTATTTTAATTCAGCAGTTCTTCAAAGCAGAACTACTCCTTTACTGAATTGCTTTCAAGCTAGACCTGTGCAGCTGATACAATTAAAAATATAAGGAGCAAAACTGCAGGTATTGTTTCATTACAAAGTCTGAAAAAGATTTTAATGTGAATTTTACTGCTATTTTTGATTATTAAATGTTAGGACATTTGTCTTAAGTCCATACCATGGCCAACCACCACAACAGTTACGTTGAAGGAATAGCTAATTGTTGCATGCAACAGCTGTTCTGTATGATTTCTATAGCATGCAATTGTGTTCCATAAATGAATACCTAGACAAATTAGGGTAGCAAATTGTGAAATCACAATTTTAATATATACAAAGCTATATCAGTTTTCATTTTGAATCAGTTTCAAATCCACTCCAACATAACCACGCTAGTGTTAGGGAAAAACTAGTTGAGCCTCCCTAGTGGCCCTGTTGCTGTTAACTCTCAGACAAACATGATACATTGTAAATATGCCAACATATTTTGTTTGTGTGCATATTCCAGTTCTGGGCCGTTTTCTCATTTTCCTAATCTAGCAATAAAAGATGAAATTTGCACCATAGGCCTGTTAGATCTTTTTAAGCTCTTAATACTATTTCTATTAGAATTTGACTTACTGAAGTCAGCTCTCGTTTTAAGATTAGATCATTGTTTCTTCAACATACACACCCCCTGGACACATTTAAAGGTGCATCTCTCTGAATGAAGAGCTATAAAAGACTTGCAGGATTTAGAGGGGATACAGGTTTTGGATATTTAGGAACAAAGTTTAAAGTTCAGAAACTTGGCTTCTTTCTATACATTTAAGTAGGTAATCCAGTACTCTGCTAAGTGTGAAGGGGCACTGAAAGCGAAACAATTACTGTACTGACAAAAAGTCAGTGGCAGTCTAATTTGATTATTAAATGTTAGGATATTGTGTCTTCCTATTCTTCACACGGTAGCTTTTTCCAAACAAGTTTTCATATAATCTGTTAGAAAACATTTATGCTGAACATGTGTTCAGTTCCTGACTTAATCTAGCTTCTTAGAAGTATAATTAGGGTTGTCTTGACAAGAATTATTTTACTTTCAAGGGCACATCATGAAGAAAACAACTGAAAGCAATTCATATGTTTTGAAGTTCTAAAACTCTAGTGTTGGGGAAAGAAGTGAAGCAGTCACTTAATATTTTAAAGCAGTGTTTCGCTATGTCTTTAGGAATCTCGGTCTCCTTAGAGACACTTCCTGGTTCCATGTCAGCACTTAGTTTTGGCAGCTTGATCAACCTTCCCTGATTCTGTTTGCTTTTACTGCACATCCCATTTTCTTACTGCCCATGTCCTGCAGGATTGGATGGGCAGAGTGTAGGAAGCGGTGGTTGGTTCTCTGCATCCTCCCCATATCTTGTCCATTTAATTCATGAGCACTGAATCCTCCGAAGTGTGCTCTACCATGGGAAAATGGACGCATGTTCTGTGATACTGGAATAACTAAATGTGCTTTTTTTACAGAAAAAACTCTTGGTTCAAGGGAAGCAAATTGCAATGCATTACAGCAATCCCAGACCTAAATTTGAAGACTGGCTTTGCAACAAGGTAAGGCAGTGTTCTTGCAAAGGCATATTTTTAATTTTTTTAAATAGATTCCATAATAATTTCTAGTTAGCCATTCTCATACTATTCACTTCTAGTAAGACTTGTAAGGAATAAAATATCTGTAGATTAACCTCAGATAATATTAAAGAGCTTAGCAAGAAGTAAGTTATAGGAAGTGTTAAAAAGAAATAGTGTTTAATAAAAACATGTACGTTAATGTGGAAATAGCAATTGTGATTATTACCGTATCATGATATGGTATTTTAAAATAATGAGAACTGGTTTAATAAGAAAGAGTGAGCACTGCCAGGATGCTTCTGCTACTTCTGAATTTGAAATAAACCTATTGCTCCCTTGTTTTTTGTCCCTCTGCTATAATGCTACTTAACCAATCAACTACTAAAACATTCTCAAAGGGGATAAAAAGAATCCATGGGAGTTGGGCGGCTTATACATTCAAATAAAAAAAACATTTTTTTCTTAAGCAATGGATGCAGTAGTTGAGTATCCTTTATCAGCCTGGAGAGCCTGCCTGCACAGCCACAGGACTGAAGAAACAGCACTAGATTTACTTCGTTATAGCCCATGAGCGATGTCATAGCAAAAACACATTTCTCAGTGTATTGACTTGAAGTAATCTATCAGTAAAATACAATACAACAAACAAAGGGCAACTGATAAATTCTACTTTTTCCACAGTGAGGGGAAAAAAAGATAATTGACATAAATTTGACTACAGGTAGTCCTCGCTTACTGACCACTTGTTCAGTGACCGTTTGAAGTTGCGTCAGTGCTGAACAAGTGATACTTAACGTCCAGTCCCCAAAGTTCTGGCTGCAGTGTTCCTGTGATTACGATTCAGGCGCTTGGCAACTGGCTCGCACTTATGACGGTTGCAGCGTCCCACAGTCAAGTGATCGCCATTTGCCAATCTTCCCAGAAGCAAAGTCAATGGTTTGCATTCCAAGCCAGCAAGGAAGGTCACAAGTCACACTGGTAAATTCCCCCAACCTTCCTATGCTTGTGCCCTACCACATTGTCCACCTTTGGCTTTCCTGCACTTGCACTGCGCCACACCCCCCCCCCCCCGGCCTGCCTTTGCTCGCGCCCTTTCACGCCATCCACCCCCTGGCCTCCCTGTGATCACACCCTGCCGTGCTATCCACCCCCCCACCTTCCTACATTCATAGCTTGCACCAGGCCTCCCAAGCCGTCCTCCAGCCTCCCCCAACTCAAGTGTGGCCTGCTCCAGCCCTTCCCAGGGCCTCCTCCGCCTCCCCCATCCCCCATGAATTTTTTTTGTAAATGAGTAGGCAGTTGGGATAAATTGTTTTTCCTTCTTTGTCTATTAGTTAAAGGAAGCAGGGATGGAACTTTAGCTTGCTTTGTTAGTTAAATGCCCTCTCTGTGGTTGAATACTTTTTTAGCCAATCAAAAGATGCTGAAACATTTGAAACAGCATTCAGAGAAGCATCTTGTTTTCTCCTGAGCTCGGGATGAAACACTAGAACAGGAAGTTCCTGCACCCCTAAGCTTATAACATTGGAAATGATGCTTAGAGTTTTAAATAGATACTAGTGAATAGGATTAGTGTTTATCCCAAATTCATTAATTGACAGTACGGATTCAGATTCAACCCGTCTTAAGCCTGCTACTTTTCAGTAAAATAAATTCTTAGTGATCTGCTCATATGGTCTGTGTAATGTCTGAAGAAGGATACTTGAAAATTGCATTGGTTACTTCTGTGTTTGGGAAAATCTCAAGATGCATTCTTTTTCAGTCAGCAATAGCAGTTGCACTTTTACATAGGTCAGCATTTAAGATTTTAAATTCACCCATAGAAGGGAAACAATCTTTCTACTGCCTTTGAGTTTAAATGAACACTAATATAATGGTAAAGAAAAAAGAGGTCCTGAACTTTAAATCAAGAATTAAGCATTTTCTGCTGCAAAGAGTTCTTCCTGACAGCAAGTGTAAATTCCTGCTTGAAAGTCAGCTTGCACCTAGCTTGCCATAACCATACAGTCATGGGTTGCAGCTCTTAATTCTCCTACCATGTCCATTTGTCTCTACTTAATATTTAAGGTCTGGTAATTAAAATATTAGAATTAATAATATCTGTGAGTGATTTTTTAAAATTTGTTACAGTAATCTGTTCCATTTATGCAGAAATTATATTTTAATACTGAAGCTGCTTTCGGAGTATTGACTTTAGAAATAAAATAATTTTGTAACACCATTTCTCATATTTCAGGATGCTCCCTGAACAATTAAGACCTTAAAAATATGCAGAACTTAATGTTTAAAATGGTAGTACCAGGAATTGAACCATCCCTCAAGATGGTGTTTAGTGTTAGTTTTATCTAGCTAGTCTCTTTTAATTGTCCTGGATATAACAGACTGTGGAGCTGAATTGATCATCAAGCTCATGGATGCCAAAACAAACTCCTGACTTCAAGATGTGCTATCCTTACTGAGTAGTAAACGGACACTACTAGTTCTATGCAGTAATGACATGAAACCACCATCACAGTGTATTTTAAAAACAATTTGTTATAGATATGGTCTGTCCTACAGAATGTTTGATCAGGTGTATAATCTAAAATGTAATGGGTTTGTTTATTTGTTAGTGCTGCCTTTACAACTTCAGGAGGCGACTAAAATGCTTCCGTTGTGGAGCAGATAAATTTGGTAAGTTCTGTTTGAATAAGTTATATTAAACATATTTTTTTATTTCACAATTGAACTGCATGTAATTCCATTTCTGACATGGTAAAGGTCTATTGATATCACAACACAAGGGTTTGATTATTAAACTTGTTTTTCCTCCTGTTTTGCTATGAAGATTCAGAGCAGGAAGTGCCACCTGGAGGACCGGAGGCTGTTCAGTCTGTAGATTACTACTGTGACAGTGAGTTAATTCCCTCGTGTTACATTGTATTGTAAATAGGTTAGCAAAGGTATGTGTTTATGAGCATTTATGCAGAAGTCAACCCAGATTTTTTTGTTGGGAGCTATTTTCAACTTAAATTCACAAGAGATAAAAATCAAAAAGCTGTGGAGAACATGAGTAACCTGGCAATTTATGGGAAGTATGACATTCTTCTGTCTGTAAAGAGCACATTTAAGCTTTGCCTTTTTATCCTACCTCTCTCTCTTCGGGCTAAATTTTGCAATAACTTCTTTTTCTCTGCTTCTTTTCATTTTTGGTTAGTTTCTACTGTCACTTCTTAGAGTACATTTTCATTTTTCCCACTATTGCTCTTGCTCCTCTTTCAGTCAGCAGCCACACCAGATAGTTCTTCCTCACATTCTTTAGTGTCGCCTTCTCTGCAGCCACTTCATTACCTGTAAACTTGTGAGAAGAGAATTACATATTAACTGTTTTAAAATTCTAATTAAACTGGAATGGTTGTCCTGTCCCACCCCTACTTTGGGGAATGTGGAAAAGATTGTACTACTATATATTATGGTGGATAACCTAACGTATGCATAACTGCATTATATCAACAAATCTGGTCTTTTTCAGAATTTCATAAATAGGTAGTGTTTTCCTTGTTTTACTTATAATGCATTGTAGACTTTTATGTACATCTGTTCTTTGTTATTGGATCGTGGATAAACAAATTACAACAATATCTTCATCTTTCCACAGCTCTTATTCTTAGAAATATAGCTCCTCATACAGTAGTGGAATCAATCATGACAGCTCTATCACCATATGCTTCACTGGCAGTAAATAATATCCGCCTTATTAAAGACAAACAGACCCAGCAGAATAGAGGCTTTGCTTTTGTACAGTTGTCTTCAGCCATGGTAAGGTATATTTTGTTTTATTTCAGTATCAGATTTTGTGTGTATTCAGTATTAGATTTTTATGTATGTTTCCTAGTAGTAGCATTCAAGTTCAGTTTAAATATGTGCCACCTTTTTTATTTGCATAAGTAATGAAATCAAATATCTTCATATTTATCTTCCTGATAGAAATATGTACATGGTTTATAAACCCCAGATAGAGGGTATAATATTAATTTAAAAAATTATTAATGTCCTGAGCCAGTGTTTTTTAATGTCAAGCTCTGAATTCCCTTTATAATTAAACACAAATTCTTACCTGGATTGAATGAATAAATGCAATGTGCTGGGGGTTTTTTCTTACAAAGTTTCAGTAGTTGAGTTTTTTCCTTAAAATTCCTTCTTGATGATTGTATGTATCAATTTGAACTTTGTCTCATACCAACAATTACTTTTTCCCAGGATGCTTCTCAGCTGTTGCAGATTTTGCAGAGTCTTCAGCCACCTCTGAAAATAGATGGCAAAACAATTGGTGTGGATTTTGCAAAAAGTGCTAGAAAGTGAGCTATACTAAACTTGTCTTTCAAATCTTCAAATGGTACAATTGGAAATTTATGTTGCTGCTTTATTGCATAAATGTCAGTCTTAACTGTTAAGCCTTACAAAGAAAACCAGGTTTTCTGTGTATATACATCAAAAAATGGAAGTCCTATTTCCTAGTAGTAGCATTTGAATTCAGTTAAATGTTTGAATTTAAACATTTATTTGGATAAGTAATGGAAACAAACATCTCCAGAGTTATGTTCCTATTCTGGGTAACATTGTTCCTGATTTCCAGAAAATATAGAGAGGGAAAACCAGTGCAAATGTTGTCAGGCAACATTTGAAGCAAACTGTAATTTGCTAATAATTTTGTTTTGAAGCTCCTTATGATATCTGGTAAAGTTGCCTGTGAAATGGATTTAACTGTCTTTTTATTTTCAGGGATTTGCTTCTCCCAGATGGCAATCGTGTCAGTGCTTTCTCTGTTGCTAGTACAGCCATTGCTGCTGCCCAGTGGTCATCAACCCAGGTAGGAATTGATTTTTAAAGTTGCTAATTCCTGAGTTCCAGTATATCATCCACGGATGCTCCTCTTGGTCCTTCCAGACTCCATGGGAGTCTATCTGATTTTATTTTAATTTTTAAACGTTTCTTCTTTTTCTTTTAAAAAGTGAGAATTAGCATGCTGTAAAACAGAGTGATAAAATCAAACATAAGGTTTATTTCCATCAATGCTTTGGTCCTGAATATTCCTCAGAGGAATGCCTAGGCAATAAAAATGGTAATGGATTGCAGCTCAGTGCTTTGTTTGTAAATATATCCAGGAAAAGGGAGGGGGAATAAAAGAGCTAAATTGAGGTCTCAGCATCCTGGGAGGCTGGGGAGTTTTGGGGAGCAACCTCATCAATTTGCCTTTTAATGAATAAGTGTGTTTTTTTATTTTTGTTTTTAGCCTTTATGTTGACCATGCTCTAAAAATTCCAAATGTGCCCACCTGTCTCAAAAGTTAGGAATCTCTCAGCAAGCAAGATTTTCAGCAGTGATTTCAGCATCCATTTGAACAGTCTGTTTGTTGTATCTGCTGTTTAATTGACTTCTTTAATTTATAGCCTCAGAGTGGAGAAGGTGGCACTGTTGACTTCAACTACCTTCAACTTGGGCAGGATGGTTATAATCAGTATGCTCAGGTATGTGTAAATAGTATTAGAAACTATGACATAAAGTTCTCAGGAGGAAAATTTTGTGCACTCTTTAAACTACCTCTTAGGAGGATTGAAAGGACTTCTTAAACTTTATGACATAGGGTGAGAATTTGGGCAGATGAGGCAGTGAAAAGTCCCCTAAAATAAAGCAGGCTTCTTTTTATACAATTTCTCCTGTGCCCCATCTGATAGGAATATAGAGATAGCTTTGGGAGTTGAGCAGGGTACTTTTATTTGTTTGCTATATGTATGACATGATTGCCAAATTCTGTTAACTTCATTCATTTTAAAAATGAAGTAATGTATTAACTATTAAAATACACAGTATTGTACTATAAAGCCAATAGCAAGGAGCATTGTGAAGTCAACATGAAAAAATGCAGTTCAAAAGCCAATCAAAATAAAAAGCTATACTAGGTGAAGAACCAAAATAAGGTTTAAATGATAGAAATTTAAAAGGCCTTAGATGATGATGATGATGATGATGATAATCATGATAATCATCTCTTAACCTGGCCCTGAAAGGAATCTGATGTTGGTGCTATGTGAATTTATGTGAAGAGGATTCTGTGTCCAAGGGGTTGCAACTGAGAAGGCCTTCTTTCTGATAGTCGTCTTTTTAACTTCAGAACAAAGGAATGCTTGGAGAAGGGTAGCTATAGGGGGAATTTTCCTTCTGTTCACCTGATTTGAATTCTTAATTGGGTGTGCTTCCACATCCATGCCCATGGACTGGACCTCCTGGCTCCCATGAGGGGGGCTGTATAGATCTGCCACTTAAAATCTTTCTCTACCTTTCCACAGCTCCTGGGGAAACACAACGTGGTAAATGCTGGCACTGTAACTTACTCCAGAGATAATTCCTCTGCATTGGGAAATGCCAAACCTCCCTTTCCACCCTTTTTAGTAGTTTAACTGGGCATGTGATAAAGACTAAGTTCCCTGTCAAAATGAGAGGGCTGATTTAATAACAGATGCAAGGCTTTCCTGTGTATACAAGACTAATGATGTAAAGGACTAATAGATTGACAGACACACATACATACGCATATATACAAGAAAACAGTTGAGTCTGCAAGGCTAATCTCAGTAGCTGCTTTTCCAGCCAGGGACACACACAAACATACATCACGAGCAGAATAAATTAAAGGATAAAAAAGGTGTAGCTCAAATCATTTTGCACAAAATAAAAATTAATTTCTAATTTGCATCTAGCTTCCACTAGTTCTTAAGTTCCTATATATTTCTTGGATCTCCAGTTCCCACATCTCTGGGAATTGAGGCATGCTTACATGTTTTGAGTCAGCTTTTCTCACCTGAGAGAAAAGCATAGAACAAAGACAAAATAATCCTGGCCCCCTTCCCTTAAAAGTTCACCTGAGAAGGATTATTCTGATTTGCTGTTCAGCATTTGGTTTTCCTGGGGTCTGATTGCTGCCCACTCCCTAGATTGACAGGTTGGATTTTGTTATTTCTCTTAACTCCTGTGTAACTGACCTTTTTGGGATGAGGTTTCTCCCAATTCCCTATAGGATTCCATATTATGAAAGGATAACTTTATCTTAATTCTTTGCGTAATGTTCACAGGATTACCAGCAGTTTTACCAGAATCAAACAGGAACGCTGGACACAGATACAACTACAACTTCTGGTAACTTTTCCTTTTTGTGTCACAGAAACAGACTTCTGTTTCTCCATAATTGTGTATGGGCAGTCTGAATTGACTTGATTCAACTCTGGATAGAATAGAATTATGGTAAATTGATAGTTTTGCCAGGTGTGTCTTTAGAGCAGTATTCATCTTTCAGGTAAGACCCCAGCTAAGGGACTTGAGTTAACTTCATTTGTCTGCATGAAGTATTGTGGCAGATACTCAATAATAGTTAATGGTAATCTTTCCCCCAGGAAATGAAATTGCTAAATCATTTTAAAACAGTCTGGAAATAGAGGCATGTGTGAGTTTGAGGAAATAGTGGAACCCATTCTGTTATTATCAAGTCACCAATGAGTTCTAGCAGTATTATTTTAGATTTTGAGATATGCATGGAATGTTTCACGAGCTGTGTGTTGGCAGGTGGTCCAGTTACTGCAGCTACAACTACGGCAGCTGTTGTTTCCCAGAGCCCTCAGTTATATAATCAGCAGACCAATTCAGCTGATACTCCGGTAAATAAATATTGTTGTCTTCTGTTGCAGAAATCTTGGTTTAGTGTAAAGCTTTAGTGCATGTACACTCATGCAAAAATTCCACCTTGTGTTCATCTTAATTTTCATAGCACTCTTTAAATTGCAGTTCTTACCTATTCAGTTGTTATACAGATACTGATAAATGAATTAAGATGAGAAGTCTTGACTTGTCTGAGGTAGTAATTGAGTAGAAATTGAATGTAGGTCTTGTGTGTGCAAAACTAGGGTTCTTAAGAACTGTTGACCTGCTGCAATTATAATAAATTTTGCATAAGCTGTGTTTGTGTGTTTGAATAAGCACACATAAACATAAATTGCTTATTCTCAATGTAAAAGTGTCTTGAAGAAAATCTATATATTCTTGAATGAATGTTGTGGCTTTCTAAATTTCTGACATGGGTTTCATTCTCCAGACACAGGCTGTGCAGCCAAGTACTAGTTCTCAGGTGCCATCCACTTCTCCAACTGGTATAATTCCTGGCACCAAGTATGGTAAGTGCTAGATGAACTACTGCTAGATGAAGCATTAAATAGTGGAAAATAACTATTGCTTCCTTTACAGTTCAATGTTTATATTGAAAAGGTTACTCCAAAAAAGTACTGTTTTCTTGAGATGTAAATCCAGAAGTTAACCCTTACTTGTCTGGAGGATTGGGGAGTGTATGGGGGGAAAAGGGGAGGGGAGGGGAATTAAAATACTTTCTAAAGTAAAATAGACATTGAAGGGATGAAGCAAAAGAGAAACCGTTTGTTTCACTAATGAGCAGAATTCTAAGACAATGTTTTCTCTGTCCTGCATTTAGATCTGTCAGTATCTATTAAATGTTGTGCTTGTTAGCTACTTCTCACATTCTTGAATTCAAAATAACGTTGTTGGTTAAAAAAAAGCAGTGGTTTAATTCAAATAACTTCTAAGTAGTTCATCCATTCAATTTACAGCTGTTCCAGATACTTCAACATATCAATATGATGAATCGTCAGGTTTCTACTATGATCCTGTGACTGGACTGTATTATGATCCAAATTCTCAGGTAAACAACTCTCCTTTTTTCTCTGAAGAGTAAAGATATTCTTCAGTTGGAAGTCAGAGACTTTGAGAAACAATATGCTGTGCGATACTGGTCTAGTAATAGTAAGAATCCAGTTTACACACCTGCCATTGTTTTGGACAGCTAGTTTTAGAATGTACATGGACCTTGTTTGTTTGCTGTTCTGGAGCATACAAATACCTTTTTTGCTCAAAGGTACAATATGATCATTTTAACTAGCAGGCCTTTAGCATCAAATTCATTTCAGGTATCGTTGGAAGTAATCTCTAGCTGCATAGAGATTTTCAATAATACGAATTCATGTAATCCCTAAGTGCAGAAATTATGGATGCAGATTAATTCCTTAATATAACTTCATTTCAACTTTGTTCTTTGTTAGAAAGTAATTTTTTCAACATGAGAGAAAAATAATTTGCTTTCTTTTCAGTATTATTACAATGCTGTTACACAACAGTATCTGTACTGGGACGGTGAGAAAGAGACCTATATGCCTGCGGCAGAAGGCACATCATATCAGCAAACTAATGCACCTTCAGCTAAAGAAGGAAAAGAAAAGAAAGAGAAACCCAAGAGTAAAACTGCTCAGCAGGTGATAATTAAAATGAAAGTTGCTATTCCTAAGTTCTGTTTGATACAAGTGGTTATACATTTTTATGTAAGAATCCCATGGAAAGTTACGAAGTATAAAGGATAGGAAGAGAAAATGTGTGTACAAGAGAAGCATGCTGGCTGGAGAATTCTGGGAGTTGAAGTCCATGCATCTTAAAGTTCTCAAGGTTGAGAAGCACTGTACTATATTTAATTGCTAGTTCAGAGATACTGCTGTTTGAGCTGAGGAAAATAGTTGTAATTTCTGATCACATGTTGAAAGTTAGCTATAGCAAAGATTTCCAAATACTTCTATTTTCACAAGATAATTTGCAAAGATCACTTGATGTAGAAATAACCTGAAATGCTATGATGGCAGAAAAAGAAGTATATGGAGTACAAATGTTAATTTTGGTTTAATATACACACAGTCTAAATCAACGTACTCTTTTTCCTGTTCAGATTGCTAAAGACATGGAACGTTGGGCTAAGAGTTTAAACAAACAGAAGGAGAACTTCAAGAACAGCTTTCAGCCTCTGAATGCAAGAGAAGAAGAAAGAAGAGAATCTGCAGCAGCAGATGCTGGTTTTGCTCTCTTTGAGAAAAAGGTAAAACATTGACTGCTAGCTCAGGGAATGCAAAAGAAGTCCATCCTTTGCAGACTTTGGATTTACAGGTTTCTTCTTTTTCTAGGGCACCTTGTCTGAGAGACAGCAAATAATAACAGAAGTGATAAAGAATGGTGATGATGATAATCCATTGAAAGTGAGTGTATAGAAATCTATACTCACTTGTGTGCTTTTTTAATGGTTTGAAATATTTAGGAGCTTGACACTGCTTTCCCAAACTGAATCCTGTATCATGCGCTGTTCTTTGATGCAGTCTGTTTATTCACTGCTGCCCCTTTCAGTAATTTATTGACTATAAATGTTCATCATTATTTTATAGCGTGGTTTGGTGGCTGCTTACAGCGGGGATAGTGATAATGAGGAAGATTTCTTGGAGAGATTGGAGAACGAGGAAGAAAAATTAACAGACTGGAAAAAGTTAGCATGTTTGTTATGTAGAAGACAGTTTCCAAACAAGGAAGCTCTCGTCAGGCATCAGCAGCTTTCTGACCTGCATAAGGTAATGACCTATTTCAAATCAATAAACCCAATGTTGCAGAAATTTTACAGAATGTATTGACATATTTATTTACATACATACTTATATTTGTGTGCCACTTTTTCAGCAACTAGGCAGCTGGAGTAATGTGCTATACAAAATGGGCAAGCAACATTGATAGAATGAAGGGGATATTAGAAATGCACAATTTGAGGCTTTGGGCTGCTTGCAACTCTGGAATGCCTTGGGTGCAACCCCCAGAGGTCTACACATGCGATTACCAATTTTAATTTTCCATTCAACCAGAAAAGGAACATTACTAAATATATGAGTGGAAACTAATGGTCTCAATTATTTAATTTATGTTGTTTATAATATAAGTTTATATTGTTGTTCGAGTACTCTACATCAGAAAGGTTATGGATGCTACTAGCTACCTAAATCAGTCTTAATTTATCAGGTTCATTGGTTATATTATTCTTTTTATAGCAAAATATGGACATATACAGGAGATCTAGGCTATCTGAGCAAGAACTTGAAGCCTTGGAAATGCGTGAGAGAGAGGTTAGTACCATAAATACAAAGAATCAAGTTTACTTTCCAAGCAGAAGCATCGCACAAACTTGGCTACAGTTCACAGATTTGGAAAACAAACAATCTGAGCCAAAACTTAAACATACTTGAAACTAGTGGAACACAGATTTCTTGCCTGTGGCATTTAGACACATTAGATATTAGTTTGTCAACTGACACACTGATTGGGGCACACAGGAGATAACATTACCATGCTTTCTGGTCTTTTGTGGTATAGATGTTAGATGAATTATTTAATCAAATGCTGATAGGTGGTTGCTCTGTACTGTGCCATGAATAACCATTTTATTGTTGTGTTTGTTACGTTCAAAACGTTCTAATATGGCTCTTTTTAGTGCTGTTTTTTAACAACATAAAATTTGGTAACAAATCATGGTTCTGAAAATCACCCTAGTGGCAGCAAGGAATAGGTTCCTCCTATTAGCAAATGCTTCTGAATGTTTCCTGTGTCTTTTCCTGCTTCAATTATTATGTTTTTCTTACCACAAAGCAAGAGGATAACAGTATGCGATAATGGAATTTATCTAATTTCAGATGAAATACAGAGACAGGGCAGCCGAAAGACGTGAGAAATACGGCATCCCAGAGCCACCTGAGCCAAAGCGGAAAAAAGTGTTTGATGCAGGCACTGTGTATGTATTTGAAGGATACTACAATTACTGTTGGAACATTTTCCCCAGATTTTTTTTTGTTAGCTTTAACTATTGCTTTTCTGCAGGAATTATGAACAGCCCACGAAAGATGGGATTGACCATAGCAATATTGGGAACAAAATGCTGCAGGCCATGGGGTGGAGGGAAGGTTCAGGATTAGGAAGGAAATGTCAAGGCATCACAGCCCCAATTGAGGTGAGCATAAATCTATATTGGAACACTGAATTTAATATATGCTAAACTTTAGAAAATAGAGATTTTTAAACATTTTGCTGATCAGTTAAAAAAAAAAAGATCTTGTTGGCTTCTGGGTGCTACCATCAGGAGCCATATTGGTAGTTATTGCTGTGGAAGATTATCCTATAATTTAATGGAAGTGTTTTGTTTTAATTTCAGTGAAAACTAGTAAATTACTTTATATAGAATCTAGCCTTCTCTGAGTATACTTTTGATTTGTTCTCTCAAATAATGTTTTAAGATCATCTTGACAGTAATGTAGTTTCTAATTCCAGGTGCTTGATAAAAAATCCACATATTAAATGCATCATTAGGACAGTGGTTCCCTTCTGTTTTCTTCACACAGATTGCAACAATGTCAGCAAAGACCTCTGGTAATATAGCACTTGTGGGTTACTAAGACACAAGTGACTGCTAGTAAAATCTTGCAAAATTTGATGATCTCAGGACATTTTGGCTATACAGTGGTACCTTCGGTTACGAACGCCTCTGCTTACGAACTTTTCGGGTTGCGACCAGCTCCGGCCGCAACAATTTACCTCGGTTTGCGAACTCCACCTCGGGGTACAAACCGGATCCGGGGCCATTTTCCGCCGTGCCACGTGGTCCGCGGCCGTTTTTCTGCCCTGCTGCGCAGTCCGCAGCCGTTTTTCCGCCT